ACCAGAAACTTCACTGAGTAGTTTGAGGAGTCACGAGGAGTAAAGTAAACCTGAGAGAGACTGGCACTCTGTGTTTCCAGGTGGTGGGAGCAGCCAGGGCTCATTTGCTGTGGGTAGAGTTTCTTTTTTAATAGAGGCCTATGGACACAACCCTGATGAGCAGCAGGTCCACTGGTGCATCTGCTTGGTGTAACCCTCCTGCTGCAATGGGATGCTGTGGTTTTGATCTCCCTGGGTTTTGATGAATATCCTGTTGGATATTCTGTTTTCACACTATGCTTCTGGACCATATAAGCTGTGTCTGGGTTTGCCTGTGTTTGCTGAGCAGATCAGTGAGGTGGCTATAGGATGGGAGGTGTCCTGGGAAACATAAGGTAGTATCTTGCTGGTACCAACCATCAGAGAAGCACAAGAGAGTAGGAAAGCACCAAGTAATTTGGCCCAGGCATGCCCTAGGACATCAGCTGCCTCCTCTTTTGCCTGAGATCCTTTGATTCCACAGACATGTCTGCAGAACCTCATTTTTTGCTGAAATGAAAGCTCCTTGTAGCTTTTTGGTGAGCGGTAACTTCTGAGCATGGCAAGTGGCCGTTGTAGGCTGTGTTGAACGCCTTTTGCTGAGGAGGACGTAACCATGCGAGCGTGTGTCACTGCAGGGGCTGGATGTGAGCTTGTCTTGTGTTCATGCACCAAGTGTTTAATTGAATGCAAAGGGACGTTGTTGGCTTTAGTGACATGGCAGCCTTAAGAGAGCGGTAGCAAAGCCGTCCAGATTGCTGCAGGCAGGGAGGTTTCTGGTGGATGCAGTTTTGTGGCAAAACATGGCGATGGGATGGGAAGGAGGAAAAACGTGTGATTTAGGGAGAGGGTGGGAAATCCCTCAGTGCAGCAGCTCCTGGCTCCCCAGCTGTGCTGGGCTTGGATGCTGAGCGCTCCGCGGAGTGCTCGGAGGCCTCTCAGTTGAGCAGTGGTGTTACAGCAGATGATCATGGTACATCATCACTTGGAGGCAAGCTCCTCCTCACCTTGCCTCTCCAGAGGCTGTTCTCTGTGGGCGTCGCAGCGGGGGCTCGTCACCTTCGGACTGTCCCTGATTCTGACCCGCTCTTCTGTTTCTCCCTTGCAGATATTATGCAGATATAGCTAAAATGCCAGCGATCAGCGACCAGGACATGAGCGCGTACCTGGCGGAGCAGTCGCGGTTGCACCTCAGCCAGTTCAACAGCATGAGCGCGCTGCACGAGATCTACTCTTACATCACCAAGTACAAGGATGAGGTAAGACGTGGTGATGAGGAGTCAAGCCTGGGCTGCGAGCCATGTCCTTTTGCCTGCGTTTCTGCAGTCCCTCGCTTTTCCCTGTAGAAAAACACCCCATGAAATGCAGGAGGACAATGTAGTCTGTACCTGTGCTTGGGCTGCCGGGCAGGGAAGGGTCTGGGAGGCGCTGATGTCAGCAGCGCTTCATTCCTCATTTTTTCTGCAGTGAGTAATGTGGGAAACACCAATCTTTCTACACGTTCGGCACGTGAGCTCGGCGGGGCTGCAGAGTTTGCGGTGTTATCTCAGCGTGCCTCCCCTGCACACCGCCAGTGGTACCGACGCTGTGCAATTATACTGCTGGCATCTGGCTCCTCTCCCTGGGGATGCCAGAGGATGGGGTGGCCTCTTCAGTGCTTGCTTTGTGAACATCAGTAAGAATGGTTAAAAACTTCTCTGTTGAAATTTGTACAAATTAACTTCATAAAGCACCGCTCAAATCCACGCACCGCATCTTTTTATTAAAGCAATAAGATACATAACTACAGTAAAATAGTAAAAAAACCTATACATACAACGTGATAGTATAGGTTTTATTGTCCCAATAAAGGGGACTGACGACTGTGTTTGAATGGTGGCTTATTTAGATGACAGAGTGCCAGAACATCTCCTTGCTGAGAGTGCCAGCCTCTCACCCACAGGGAGAAGGAATGGGCTCTCCATCGTATCCTGCAACAATCCTGAGAAGCATCTCAGCGCCTCTTTGAGGTGTGAATTTAGGGAGTCCATGGGCAGATCATAGCAGATCTGGCCCCTGGGTCTAAGGGCAGCACTGGGACCATGGTGACCAAAGTCCTCTTGGAGCTGGGTGCTTTGCAGGAGTGAGGGGGGGAGAAGGAGGGCCTGGCTTGCCTACAAGGATGGGAGGAAACCCTGGTGCTTGGGAAGGGGCCGCGTGGTGGTCACTGTGCAGATGGTGTCCACGTGCTGGTGACTGTGCTGGTGATACCTCTGTGCTGCTCCCCAGACAACGTGGGATGGCACGTCCAGGAGGCCCCCGTAGCTCTGTGTGGTGAGTTGGCTGTGAAGGTTTTTGGGGGTTTCACAGTTTGTGCAACAGCTCCGTGGCTGCCATGAGGGTGGAAGAGGACCAGTTTGGAGGATCTAGATCTGCTGCGGGGCAGGCATCATCCTTCAGCCATCGTCAGGTGCTCACTTCCTTGAGGCTGAAAGTCTCCCAAGCCTTAAATCCTCCAAGCCCTGGGCGAGAGCAGGGAGGACACTGTGGTATTAGTGAGCTGCTCTTTAGGGACACAGGTCCTCTTCTTGCCCACTAATGGTAGCCTGACGTCTGTTGAGTGTCTTGCTGTCTCCCGCTCTCCAAGCATCACAAGTGTGTTCACAGCTCTCAGGAACTTCTTTTATTATTTGTAATGGGATTAATAAATCGCAGCTGTTCCCTTTGTTTGTTTTCATTCATTAAGCACAATTATATGCAGCCCGATTGCACCCTCTTTGATGCAAAATGGGAGAGAATAATTTTTCCTGTTGTTCAGTGCAATAATACGCTGTCATTGGCTATGAATGAAAATCATAATTAATTTTCATTTGGGTACTTGCATCTTGATAATCAGTGGTCCTGGCTCCTTGCAGCAGGTGACAAACCTGGGTCTCTCTATGCTCAGCACAGGTTTCTTTTGACTATGTTGTTTCCGTAAGATAAAAGAGGAGCAAATAAATGCAGGGGCAGGTTGTGACTCTGTTGACATCTCAGCATCCCAGGATAGACAAGTGTTTTATCAGGAGGGACTGACAGGAATAGGGTCCTCTTCCACTTCTCGGGCCAATCTCATTCGGTTCCAGCTCAGCTGCCTTTCAAGTACGCAGAGTTTTGATTTCTGCCTGCGTGTTGTTATAGTTATTTTATTCCACGTGTTGTGTGATGGCCGACAGCGGCTGCGGAGATGGATGGCAGGGGAGCATCCCCGGTAGCAGGTTTGTGGCAGAATCTATGAGCTCTTGCGAGTCCAGCTGCAGCCCAGAGTCCTTGCTGCCAGGGGAGGTAAATCAGACGTGCTCGACTCTCGCTGGCGAATTTTCCCCACCTCGGGAGCTGACACCGATGTGGAGATGCAGCTTTCCCCCTTCCTTTGGGAAGAGATTCCCCATCGGGCATCTCTTACTGCCCCAGCAGACCGGGAGCAGCCTGGTCCTGTCCCCAAAATCCTGGTGGAGAGCCAGAGCCTGTTAGTGGCTGGAGGCTGTGGCACAGCAGCGTGGTGGATGCTGCACGGCACGTCCCCCATGCCACTCCTCACCCTGCCGGCGCTGCGGCAGCTCTTAATCAAAGGGAACTGATTCCCCATTAAGAAGTTACCTGTAGGGCTCCTGATGGACTTTACCTGCCTCCTGGTAAGTCTATTAATTATACAACAGTTTGTTTCCAATTATGTGGCCAATGAAATGGTTAATCAAATCCCCTTTGACGGATGCCTTGATATTTAATTGCAAAAAATTTGCTCTCTCAACTAGCTCACCCGAGGAGATGAGATTTCTGTCAGGTTTGTTTTTTTTAAATCAGCATTTCTGCTCTGCTGGCATGGTGCTAGCGAGACGAGACTCCTGCCTCTGAGAGGAAAACTGCCCCTTTGTTTTACGCTTCATTACTCCGTTCTCCCCACTTTGAGTCTCGTCCTCCACTCTCCCCCTGCCACCCGTCCTTCCCTGGCCCTGCGGGCATGGCTGTGTCCAGCCTGGGGCCGGAGACCATCCCTCCACCTGGCCATCCGTCATCATGGCCAGGAGCTTCTTCAGAGAAAGGGGCTTTCAAGGGAGGAAGGCTATCCTCGGGGGTCGTGGTGCACCCCTTGCACAGAGCCGAGGGCTCCCGGTGAGGCAGGCTCTGCTGTTGCATCGTCTGGTGTTCTCCATCAGCCCAGTGTCCCTCAGTAAAAAAAAAAGAAACGGGGTGGTTTTTGCCCCCGGCAGCAGCCGAAGCCTCCTGGGTTTGGTCTTTCTGTGCTCATGGAACCAGTTCACGGCTCGATCATGGTCTCTGAAACACAACGACGACCTCCCTGTGGCTTCAGCTTGATTGGAGTCATGGACATGGTGGGAAGGTGTCATTGTCTTGGTTTTGGGTTTCACCCTTCGTTTGACAATGGGTGTTTGTTTTCTGTGTTTCCCCATGTGCAAGTGGGCTCCTGGTTAGTATCAAGCAGGTCCCTGACGTTACCACAGCCCTTTGGGGTGTCCCAGGAG